CGCCAGGGAGGACCGTGCCTCCCTCCCCTAAAAAACTGAATACCTCCTAAAATTTGCATTTTCAGCATAGTTTTATGCATCATATTCAAGATTCTTAAGATCTAGCTCCCCTGCACCAGCTCTTAAAAAATGTTTTGCGGGCTGAAGTCTAATACCTACCTCCCCAGAATCCGAGAAACAAATCATCTCTTATTATGCAACTTTTATATAGGTGATTTTTGGTATATCAACATCTTGTGACGGGTGATACAAGCTGTTAAAATAAATTAGTTTGAAAACACCTGTAACTAAAATTGTTTTATGTTGGAACAGTCGCGAATGCAAACCTCTAATACCGAGGTTCCAGGGTTGTTTAATGAGAGCAAACTGTGTGTAAGCTATTGAACTTTTTGAAGGTGTCATCCAACTTGTATTATTCCGCTTTCACATCGACGCATGTTTATATAAAAACTATAGAACAAGCAGCAAAGAATTGATGTGAGCAATAAAGACAAAGGATCAGAACAATTCTTAGCACAAATTTTCACAAGGATTTTATACGAGATAGTACACTTGAACGATCAAAGCAACATACTATACGGAGTGACAAAAAAAGATAAACACCTACGTATGCTTATCCGATTTTAATAATTTTTGGCATATATACTAAGTGACATATAAATCCGAACACCCAGTTTAAATGGTTTTATTTTAATAAAAGTTGGTGAATGTATTTATCTTACTGTAAATAACAAGTGAAAACATTTTCAGCCTTATCAGTTGGACATTCCGGTTTTTATACTGCTTTTTTTTAATTCACTAACGCTATAAAAATGAATATTTCAGCCGCAGTAAAGAATCAACGTTGGCAGATTTTGGTTCTTGACATCCTTTACGATCGGTTACGATGCCTAGAGTACGGAGACCTGCACGGTTTCGTCAACTTAGTGAGTTGATAGGCTAGTGGGACTTTGAGAATCTGGACTTTCTTTTCGGGCAATTGCAGTTAGAGTGCAAAGAAGTGTAGACACTGTGGTTAGGTGTTGTCAGGCATGGCTTCGAGAAGGCCGTACGCAAAGAGCAAGGGGCACTGGACGCCGCCGTAGAACAACAAACCGTGAAGATCGCCGCCTAAGATTATTGGCCTTAGGGACCGTTTCTCCACTACCAGGTCCATTGCAAATGAATAGTTTGCAGAACACGGAAGACCTATTGGCATGCGAAGTGTTTACCGACGAATGAGAAGTTTTGGCTTGTTTTCATACCGGCCACACTGGGTCCTCCCTTTAACTCGAGAACACCGACGTAATCGCCTTGAGTGGTGCAGACAACGGTCACTCTGGGATCAGGAATGGAACAGTATTGTCTTTAGTGACGAGTCTCGATTTTGTTTAGGCATGCACGATGGTCGTGCCAGGGTTAGAAGGTGACGTGGTGAAAGGAGGAATCCACAGTTTTTTCTTGAAAGACATGTTCATCACACTGTTGGAGTTATGGTTTGGGGTGCTATAGCTTATGGTTCCAGGTCACCTTTAATCTTCATCAGAGGTAACATGAACGCGCAGCGTTACTCATCCACGAAGTTCTAGAACCCCATCTTTTACCCTATCTTGACACCCTGGCAGATCCAACTTTCCAACAAGATAATGCGCGACCACATGTTGCAAGAGTCACAATAGACTTCTTTTAACATAATGATGTCACATTGTTACCATGGCCACCAAGATCTCCCGACTTATCCCCAATTGAGCACGTGTGGGATATGATGGGTAGGAGATTGCTCAATTTGCAACGTCCTCCTCAGACTCTAGAAGCACTTCGAGAGGAGTTGGTGGTTGCCTGGAATGAGATACCACAGGAGGACATTGACCACCTGATCAGAAGCATGCCTTGGCGCGTTGTAGAATGCGTAGCACATCAGGGTGCATCCACACATTATTAAAGGTCAAAGGGCTTTAAAGCAGTGCAATCATTTTGAAATTTTTATCATTTACTTATTCTGCTTCATTAAGTACTTATACAAAATTTTATTAAAATAAAACCATTTAAACTGGGCGTTCGGATTTATATGTCACTTAGTATATGTTCAGTGTCCCTTACTAGTAAAATGATTAAATTTTAAGCTTGATTCGTCAACTGACTGCAGAAGCTGGTATAATAATGTGTTGATGATCCACGATTACTTATACACTCATTGACACTTCTGGGCATGGTGCTGATAAGGTGGTCGATACCTGTTGGGGTATCTCATTCCAGTCTACTGCAACTTCGTGAGTAAGAGCTGCTAAAGTCTGTGAAAGGTGTTGCAAATTCAAGAACCTGCGACCTATCATGCCCCAGACATGTTCAATTGGAGATGGGCCAGGCAATCGTGGTGGCCAAGGTAAACGGTTGATGCGATGTGGATCCATGACGGCTAAAGGTGCTCTGGAAACATGCGGTCTGACTTTGTCTTGGATGGTTTTTATGTATGTAATAAGACGAGGCATAAGCAATAGTACCCCATACCATAACTCCCACGGTGCGGTGAAAGAAATTGTGGGTCACGTCTTTCACCACGTCGCATTATCACTTTTGCCCGACCATCGTGCATCCCCACACAGAAGCAGGATTCGTCACTAAAGACCACCTGATTGCATTCCCGATCCCATATAATTCTTTCTCTACACCAGAGCAAACGATTACGCTGATGTTCATCTGTGAGAGGTAGCACCCAATGTGGGCAATAAGAAAAAAGGCGAAACTGTCGTATTCGGCGATATACCGAACGCATACCAACCATCCTTCCATGGTCCTCAAACCACTGATTAGCGATGGCTAGAGTACTACTGAATCTGTCTCTTAGAGCCAGTGGTCCCTCTGGGACTTCCAGAACCCCTCGCTCGCTGTCTTTGGCCTTCCTGAGCTCACGCTCGTTCACACCGTAAATGTACGAAAACTGAATGCTTCTTTATCACCACACAATACACCCAGCCACCACAAAAACTTGAACAAAATTTTATTACTTGTTGTTCATGGGAAGATAAATCGATATGTAAGAAATTCTTGAATTTTAATAAACATACGTAGGTGTTTACCTTTTTTGTCATTCAGTATAGTTAACGATTTTTATCACTGATCTTTTATAGAATTTCCCATGAATAAAAACGAGTAACTACTTATATGAAAAATATATTTAGTTACATAGTATTTATAAGATGTTGGCATATTATGTCTACTCCTAATTGAAACAGCACAAAAAACCAAGAGAAGAACTCTGCTTAGAAGTGTGTATAGATAGTTCCGGGAACACCATTTTCTATCCACGGTTTTTACGCCTCATCAACCTCATAGGGAATGGTTTTCGGCTACTTTTTTAAAATGTTGTTAATTTGAACACATACCCATGGCCCTATACTTTTTCCTCTGGAAGTTTTCGTGATACACGGCGATCAAGGCAGGCGCTATTACAGTGCATATGGTAGATCATAGGCTGTTTGATATTTATTGAGATTCGTATCATCATCCCCATTTCACCAACATCGCAATTCTATCAAGTGTACAGGGTGATTGCTTGAACACACTATGTACTTCGAGCCTATAACTTGGAAAAATATATACATATAAAAGCTGTGTAATTTTGAAAAATCGGCAGTCGCAGTTCAAACTTCGAGTTTTGAGGTTTGAGAGGCTCCTGAATATTTTCAGTAATTTTTTTGTAGGGGTTGTAAATCAGGCGTTGGGGGAAGGTATATCTCATTTTGTTGACGGCAGTATACTTATACGCTTCCAACCCCAGTAATCTTACGTACCTATCAGTACATTTTCACACATCAAAAGATTTTTTATAACTTAGAGAATATGTATAGAGCCCTTTTTTAAATACATATATATATTTATTTGAAAAACACGAAACTTTGTCAATCCGTATCTCTAAACTTACGAGTATAGTAATCTTGTTATCCAGGTCATTAGTTGTGAATTCCTGAATACTTTTGCAATGTATTTCAACAGGGACAATGCGGGATAATCCTGAACAATTTTCAAAAAAGCTTGTATCTCGGGTCAATATTCCACAGATTGCAATTATGGGCCACCCTGTATATGTGACAGATATAAAAAACGATTTTCCAAAACAAGACTGCTGTGCCTCTTCAAAAATCAATACTGAGGAAACAAGAAATAATTATCTCAAAGGTTGCAATCAAATCTTATAAGAGATTTATTCCAGTTTTCGAAAATACTCTTACAGGATATTGAAGCTGAATAACGGGTCATCTGATCCATATGATGGCCTAACAGAAAAAAGATCAAGCGAGTGGACTAAAAAGAAGCAGGCAAACTTATTGAAAACCATTTTCATTATGCTGTCTGTTAAAATTGCATGAGAACCGTTGCTCCTAAAGTTTTCCGGCTGAAAAACCTGAGAACTAGAACCTTGAGGTGTCAAAATGTTTTCTTGAAGTCTAGATACGACCATCTTTGACCAAAATACACCCTATCAAGAAAAAATTGTCTTTTTTTGGAGTACTGTATCATGTAACGAAACCCACAATGCGTTGTAATACGGTACGGACTGATCAACTTGTAACATACTAAATTTGAAAAAATAGCCGAAGATTTCCCAAGGATTTTAATTTTTGAATTACTGGAGACGACGTAGCGTTACCACACCTCTGACAATGCAGCGTCTGAATAAAGTAATTCATTAAAATACTAATTCTGATTGCAGTTACGGACGAGATACAATTTGCCTGCTGTAGAGTGGAGCGTTTCTTACAAAACCTAGAGGGTACAATTTAGTGGTTTTTATGCTCTGTCGCCACCATCTATTAATGGGGTCCCCGAATTTTTATCTGTTTCAATTAGGATTAGTAATAGAAGTAAACAGAATAATAACAATTAAGTACCAGTATGTGAGATTTTAAATTCGATCAATGACATTGATTATTTTTTATAATAAATATGAAAAACGGAAAGATAGGTTCCCCAGGTTATCCAGACCCTTTCCCTTGTTTTTTCATGTCCAAAAGGGCTCTGACCGCCAACTGCTCTGCATTTGTTAAATCACCAACGGTCTTTGTCTCGTTCTTCTCAGCACCAGCTTCATACAATGACATTCCACTGGAACCTGCTTCTTCCATCAATATTTGCTGTTCCAACATGTCCGCTTTAGGAGGTCCGGCACTGTAACGCCTCCCACCACACTTTGGAAGATTTTGGGAGGGCACAGTATAGCGCTTCAGCTTCGGCACTTTAACTTTGCTATCTAAAACAAAAAAAAACATTCAGCTAAGCATCTTTTTTAGAATTAACGTTATTTTTGAACAGAATAAATGCAGCTGTGCAACAAAACTCCTTTAATCAACTCTTGAACGAAGTATCATTTCTAGAACATTTTATACTAAGTGACATATAAATCCGAACACCCAGTTTAAATGGTATTATTTTAATAAAATTTTGTATAAGTACTTAATGAAGCATAATAAGTAAATGATAAAAATTTCAAAATGATTGCACTGCTTTAAAGCCCTTTGACCAGTAATAATGTGTGGATGCACCCTGATGTGCTACGCATTCTCCAACGCGCCTAGGCATGCTTCTGATCAGGTGGTCAATGTCCTCCTGTGGTATCTCATTCCAGGCAGCCACCAACTCCTCTCGAAGTGCTTCTAGAGTCTGAGGAGGACGTTGCAAATTGAGCAATCTCCTACCCATCATATCCCACACGTGCTCAATTGGGGATAAGTCGGGAGATCTTGGTGGCCATGGTAACAATGTGACATCATTATGTTGAAAGAAGTCTATTGTGACTCTTGCAACATGTGGTCGGGCATTATCTTGTTGGAAAGATGGATCTGCCAGGGTGTCAAGATAGGGTAAAAGATGGGGTTCTAGAACTTCGTGGATATAACGCTGCGCGTTCATGTTACCTCTGATGAAGATTAAAGGTGACCTGGAACCATAAGCTATAGCACCCCAAACCATAACTCCAACAGTGTGATGAACATGTCTTTCAACAAAAAACTGTGGATTCCTCCTTTCACCACGTCGCCTTCCAACCCTGGCACGACCATCGTGCATGCCTAAACAAAATCGAGACTCGTCACTAAAGACAATACTGTTCCATTCCTGATCCCAGAGTGACCGTTTTTTGCACCACTCAAGGCGATTACGTCGGTGTTCTCGAGTTCTCTTTGCGTACGGCCTTCTCAAAGCCATGCCTGACAACACCTAACCACAGTGTCTACACTATACGGCCCCTATCAAACTCACTGAGTTGACGAAATCGTACATGTCCCCGTACTCTAGGCATCGTAACCGATCGTAAAGGATGTCAAGAACCAAAATCCGCCAACGTTGATTCTTTACTGCGGCTGAAATATTCATTTTTAGAGCGTTAGTGAATTAAACAAAAGCAGTATAAAAACCGGAATGTCCAACTGATAAGGCTGAAAATTTTTTCACTTGTTATTTACAGTAAGATAAATACATTCACCAACTTTTATTAAAATAAAACCATTTAAACTGGGTGTTCGGATTTATATGTCACTTAGTATACATGCTGGCAACAAGTTTTGGCCTATGCAAGACGAACGATTTTCATACAAAGTTGTATCTGTTGTTTAACAAAAATGCATTTTTATTATACATATATGAGCGAAGCCTATAAGGTAATTTGGGACGCTGAATATAAATCTCATAGTGAAAAAATTCTAAAATGTCTTCGGACCGGATTTGGGGTGAATATTGGCAGAAAACTATTTAGTCGGTGCTACCCGTGAATCGCAGCACTCAACTGACATCGAATCTGGAATCTACGCTCACAATTTTCTTAGACACAAGTTTTCTTCTGGATCACAGACACGCAACAGTTTTTAGATATTTGTTAGTCGTTTTTTTGACAAAGTTGAATTCTAGTCAGAATTAAGAAAACATGGCATTTCAAACTGAATACAGCGACCCAAAAAACGTATTATAGGGCATGTTGGGCTCACGTTGCCGACTGGACTCATTTTGTGCCTTTTTGGTAACAAGTTTAAATGCGGTTTAAATGACGTTTATTCTAGGTATTTTGGGTGGCTAAAACCGAATCCGATCGTTTAACATGTATCTGATGCCGTTTAAGGTGGCACGTTCATTTTTTAGGTTTTTTTTCAACTACCGTATGCAGCAGTCTTCTAAATCCTTTTCATCTGATAATTTCATCGTGTGTATATAGATGACTAAAAAACAATGTTTTTATTTTTTGCATTTTTTATGCATTTTATTATGCGATATAAGTACAGAAATTGTGTGTGAATTTTCCTCTTTTATGGAAGAATGAAACAAGTGATTACTTTTGATCTCAACACTTTTCCTTTTCGAAAAATTTTCTTGAAGCCTCGTCTCGCAGCAAGATGAGTTTTCAAGAAAAGCAAAGATTTTTCGAAGAGAAAAAGTGATAAGAATAAAAGTGTTGTTTTATTCATCCATAAAAGGGGAATATTCACATACAATTTCAGAATTTTACTGAGTAATATTTTAACAAGTTGCGATCGAATAAAAAATCCACAATAAAATTCACAAAAAATGCATTTTATGACATAACAAAATTAAAAACGATTTTAGTCGTCTGTGTACACAAGATGAAATAATAAGATGAAAAGGATTTAGATTACTGTTGCAAACAGGTAATTTAAAAAAAGCAAAAAAAGGGACTTGCGGCCTTAACATGTAGAATTGTAGATCTAATTATTTAGCGAAAAATTTAAAAAACTATCCATTTTTGGCGACTTAAAGCTGCTAAAGATCCATTTTTACCACCGATAGCTACATGTGAGCGAAACCCTGTACAATAAGGTAATTCGGCGTGCTGAATATGAATATCATAAAGAAAACATTCTACAGTGTTACTCTACCGGATTTGGGATGAAAAATTGGTAAAAAAATAGTTATTAGAGGCTACTCGTGAATCCTAGCACTGAATTGATATAGAAATCGGAATTTAAGTACCCAATTTACTTAGAAAACGAAACGCTTTTGCATAATAAATACGGTTAAAGTACCCCACAGGATCAGGTGTTACGATATTTGTGGATATATACGTACTTATGCAAAATAGACGCTCAATAACCGACTAATATCCAATCACCCATTGAGGTGTAATATAGCATAGTAGTTTCTGCTTACTTTATTACAAATTACATCGACGTTAATAGACCAGCTCATATCGCTGTCAACCTGTAGGCCAAGAAATTTTGATGTCACTGATGGTTATAATATCAGAATGGACAGGGATTTCTAAATCGCTAATTTTGCTACAAGATAAAGAAAAAAAGCCGAGACACGTCAAAATATTTGTCAAGGGGGCAACTTTTTAACCAAGAACCACCATGTAAAGCATATCTGCTTCAGTGATGAATGCATATTTTATCTAAATGGATTTGCTAATAAAAATAACTACAGGCATTGTAGCAATGAAAATCGTCATGCTTTGCATGACATTGTATATTAATGAATCTTTGAATGGAGACATTTATTTTGATATGTTGGAAAATACCATCAATCCGCTTTTCAGTGAAACAATATTAAAACCAAATCGAAGAGAATGGAAACCTTATACTTGATGAGGCTGAAATATATTTCCAGCAAGGCGGCGCTGCTCCTAACAATGGCCTGTTAGATCTAAAGATTTGGCGTCATTACAATTTTATCTATCTTTGAAATAGTGTTAAGTAGTTTTTGGTTAAATAGTTGTCCTCCTTGACAAATCTTTTTCTTTCAATCATTGGTTTTCAATAAATCCGTGGTGGGAGGTTTTCAAATGAAATATTCTTTTTTGGAGGCTCAACTGCCGTGATCTTGGCAGGCTACACTCCCTCCTTACAAAATAAAGGCTGCTATCTTCTAATCCTCTACGTAATTACACAATTTTATCTTACCTCTACGAGTTCGGCTGTAATCCTCTCGCTTAAAATGTTTCGAGCACACTTTCATGTATTTCGTGATAGGTTTTTGAATCCCCAAAAGCCTCAACCAAGCTATTTTTCTGTCAAGAATGTAGAGTTTACCCATAGAATCAAACATGCTTACATATACACGACCCTTCGTTCTTGGAAAACCGTGAAAAGTAAGATCCTGCTCTTTTTCTTTCGCAGAATTACATCCCGGTACGCAACACTTTGTGGTAAACCGACTCATCCTTTTAAGCACTTTATAGTTTGAAGCACTACTTTTGGAAGATATGGAATATATTTCCATATTGTCAGAGAGAAAATATTCGAAATTATCGAACAGAACTAACTTCCGCACGTCGCGAAGTGAATCAAGCTTTGCAATGCAAGTTCGATAAGCTAATGGCAAATAGTGGCCAGGGACGCGCTGTCGACCACTATGAGTCCCAACGATAAACACCCATAAAGTATCAATTGTTTATCAACTAGCTCAATCGCGATTTTGGAATTCGCTGTTAAAAATTAATAAACAATACTATATTGACAAAAAGAAATGTTCAACATCACGCATTGTGATGAGGTATACGTATACACAAGCCTCTGTGCGTTTTTCATGATAATAATAATAACAATGTAAGAACTGGAGTGGCTAACTGGGCAATTGTATACCTTACGCATCCAATACCAACGGATACAAATTAAGATTGGAGGACCACTTGGACTAAAGAAATGCATGAGTGCGTGGTTCGAAGCTACTTCATAGCAACAAAGCTCGAGACGTCCCGAGAACCTTATGCCGCCGAGTTGCATAGACTAGTAATAGAAAAATTTCCTCAACTTTGAATTAAGACTGTACAAAATACAGGGTGGCGTATCGAAAACGAAACAGACGCATTTACTGGCAGCTCAGTTTTATTTTTTTTTAGAAATGCTCAGACCCGTTGATTTTGTTTTCGAGGGGGACACAAGTTTGGCAAAAAATCACCTTAACACGTGAAGCTCCCTGAGCGGGGGTGACACCAACCCTAAAATCTTAAATGGAAAGGGGGGTCGAGTGATACCTTATTTTAAAGGTCTTTCAATTCCCTTTATAATGATGTAAAATACATGAGCTTCAGTTCAGTAGTTTTGAAGATTTATTGATTTAAAGCTTAAAGTAGACCTTAATAGGTACATCAGATTAGTTTGTACTACTTTCAGGAGAAATTTGACTAAAAGAATTTACTTAATAAGTAAATGCTTCTCTTCATTACGCCCATGGTTTGTTTACCATTTTGGTGTTGAAAATAGCTATTGGAGCGTTTTTTTGTGGCAAAAAAGTTATTTCTTGAAGAAAGATAACTTATTTTAAA